ATAGATAATCACGCCGAGGCCGAGGGGGTCGGTCGTGATATGAGGACGACGGCGATGAGGAGCCGGTCCTATAATATGATGACGAGGCGCTGAGGAAGCCGATCGTCATATAGAGGCGATGGTCACCATCCGGGAAGGGATGATGAGCCCGATCGCCAGCTCAAGACTCGCGGCGCTGAGGAAGCCGGTCTTGAGATAAGATGATCACGCCGAGGCCGAGGGGTCGGTCGTGATGTGAGGACAACGGCGATGAGGAGCCGGTCCTATAATATGATGACGAGGCGCTGATGAAGCCAATCGTCATATAAAGGCGATGGTCACCATCCGGGAAGGGATGGCGAGCCCGATCGCTAGCTCAAGACTCGCGGCGCTGAGGAAGCCGGTCTTGAGATAGATAATCACGCCGAGGCCGAGGGGGTCGGTCGTGATATGAGGACGACGGCGATGAGGAGCCGGTCCTATAATATGATGACGAGGCGCTGATGAAGCCAATCGTCATATAAAGGCGATGGTCACCATCCGGGAAGGGATGGCGAGCCCGATCGCTAGCTCAAGACTCACGCCGCTGAGGAAGCCGGTCTTGAGATAGATGATCACGCCGAGGCCGAGGGGCCGGCCGTGATGTGAGGACAACGGCGATGAGGAGCCGGTCCTATAATATGATGACGAGGCGCTGATGAAGCCGATCGTCATATAAAGGCGATGGTCACCATCCGAGAAGGGATGGCGAGCCCGATCGCTAGCTCAAGACTCGCGGCGCTGAGGAAGCCGGTCTTGAGATAGATAATCACGCCGAGGCTGAGGGGGTCGGTCGTGATATGAGGACGGCGGCGATGAGGAGCCGGTCCTATAATATGATGACGAGGCGCTGATGAAGCCGATCGTCATATAAAGGCGATGGTCACCATCCGGGAAGGGATGGCGAGCCCGATCGCTAGCTCAAGACTCGCGGCGCTGAGGAAGCCGGTCTTGAGATAGATAATCAAGCCGAGGCCGAGGGGGTCGGTCGTGATATGAGGACGACGGCGATGAGGAACCGGTCCTATAATATGATGACGAGGCGCTGATGAAGCCGATCGTCATATAAAGGCGATGGTCACCATCCGAGAAGGGATGGCGAGCTCGATCGCTAGCTCAAGACTCACGGCGCTGAGGAAGCCGGTCTTGAGATGAAGGACGGCGCTGGGCGCTCGTCTGAGAATGAGGGACGGCACTGGGCGCTCGTCTGAGAATGAGGGACGGCACTGGGCGCTCGTCTACAAATGGAGGACGGCGCTGGGCGCTCGTCTAAGATGAGGGACGGCGCTGGGCGCTCGTCTAAGATGAGGGACGGCGCAGGGCGCTCGTCTAAGATGAGGGACGGCGCTGGGCGCTCGTCTAAGATGAAGGACGGCGCTGGGCGCTCGTCTAAGATGAGGGACGGCGCTGGGCGCTCGTCTACAAATGGAGGACTGCGCTCGTCTAAGATGAGGGACGGCGCTGGGCACTCGTCTAAGAATGAAGGACGGCGCAGGGCGCTCGTCTAAAAAATGAGGGACGACGCTGGGCACTCGTTTACAAATGGAGGACGGCGCTGGGCGCTCGTCTAAGATGAGGGACGGCGCTGGGCGCTCGTCTAAGAATGAAGGACGGCACTGGGCGCTCGTCTACAAATGGAGGACGGCGCTGGGCGCTCGTCTAAGATGATGGACGGCGCTGGGCGCTCGTCTAAGATGATGGACGGCGCTGGGCGCTCGTCTAAGATGAGGGACGGCGCTGGGCGCTCGTCTACAAATGGAGGACGGCGCTGGGCGCTCGTCTAAGATGAGGGACGGCGCTGGGCGCTCGTCTAAGAATGAAGGACGGCGCAGGGCGCTCGTCTAAAAATGAGGGACGGCGCTGGGCGCTCGTCTACAAATGAAGGACGGCGCTGGGCGCTCGTCTAAGGATGAAGGACGGCGCTGGGCGCTCGTCTGAAAATGAGGGACGGCGCTGGGCGCTCGTCTACAAATGAAGGACGGCGCTGGGCGCTCGTCTAAGGATGAAGGACGGCGGTGGGCGCTCGTCTGAAAATGAGGGACGGCGCTGGGCGCTCGTCTGAGATGAAGGACGGCGTTGGGCGCTCGTCTTAAAATGAGGGACGGCGCTGGGCGCTCGTCTACAAATGAAGGACGGCGCCGGGCGCTCGTCTAAGGATGAAGGACGGCGCTGGGCGCTCGTCTGAAAATGAGGGACAGCGTTGGGCGCTCGTCTACAAATGAAGGACGGCGCTGGGCGCTCGTCTAAGGATGAAGGACGGCGCTGGGCGCTCGTCTGAAAATGAGGGACGGCGCTGGGCGCTCGTCTACAAATGAAGGACGGCGCTGGGCGCTCGTCTAAGGATGAAGGACGGCGCTGGGTGCTCGTCTGAAAATGAGGGACGGCGCTGGGCGCTCGTCTACAAATGAAGGACGGCGCTGGGCGCTCGTCTAAGGATGAAGGACGGCGGTGGGCGCTCGTCTGAAAATGAGGGACGGCGCTGGGCGCTCGTCTACAAATGAAGGACGGCGTTGGGCGCTCGTCTAATCCGCATGTATGGTCTTGCTTCGTCCATAATGCGTAGTATTTGCCTGATATGTACTTAGTATTGTTGTGGGGATTTCATTTTTTGTTGCTCGAGGCCGGCGAGTGCGCGCGGTCCTCGGCTTCCCTCTTTTATTTTTTCTTTTTCCTTTTTTTTATTTTCGTTTCCGTTCCCTATTTCGGGGTGTATCCTTCTTTCAGGCTTCGGCCGAAGGGTGTGCTCGTCCTTCGGCCGGTTCGGACTTCGTTTATAACGTCCGTGATCTCAGGGTGGGTCCCGTCGCCTATTTATGACGCGGGCTTGACTTTTGGTCGGTTTCCAACGGCTGCCGTTGCCCAACCCTGAGTGGGGGGATTTTGCCACCTCGGCCATGATTTCAGGCCTGTCGTCCTGCGATCTGGCGCGTGGACGACGCGGTGAACTTCCCATTTCAAGATGCGGGCCGTTTGCGGGCCCCTCGTCCTGGGGACATCGTCGGCCATACCTGAGCGTTTCACTCTAGGCTTACGGGGCCAGGACGATGTGCTCTCTCAGCTAGGCCTGAGCCCTTCGCTGATACAAAATACAAAGTGGAGCAGACCTGAGCCTTTCGCTCGAAGGCTGCTGATACGACATGTGGTATCTTCTATTTACATTTCCAAAAAATAAGCGGAATACAATAGGTGCGTTGTTCATGGCAACGACTTTTGGGCGACGCGATTAGCGTCTCGGAGAACGAGGTGTACCGTTTACCACTCTTGGGCATAATTCCATGTGCGGCCGGTAGCGGCTCTCATTTTTAGATGCCCGAGTCACCAAATAAAGGTGACTAGGGTAGGTCGAGGGACCCAAATATAATTCAAATCATCAAATAAAGATGGTCGGAAGACTAGAGCTCGGGTCCACCACTTTGGGGTTTTTTGACCCGCTCTAATGGCGATGATAAAAATAATAATGCCAATAATAATGCATCATTAGCGACCTCGGGAAATTTTAATCCCTCATAATGGTCTTCACCACCTCGGGGGATTTTTAACCCGCCATAATGGTGGTGGAAATAATATAATTAATAATAGTAATAATTATACTACTATAATTTAATAAATATTTTAAGTTTGTAAATAGGAGGAAATTTGGGGTACTTAACTTCTTATATGGGCCGTTTGAGATAATGGGCCTGAAAACATGGGCCGTGTAGAAATCATGGGCCCACAAATATTTCTGACCAAGTTAACCTAGCCCATGATGGTCATGCCAAAGATCTGCCCCTTTCACGTTTGGCCAGTGAAAAACCACGATCCAGTGAGAAGCCACGTCTGAAGCCAAGATCCCAAGTAGAAACATACGGGCACTGTTGTTAACGAATGGAAGAAGAGCGCGCAATCCAGCCCCCGTCGCTGCTTGCCGGTTAGAGAGTCGAAGGCACTGGATACTGCTGTTGCTGCTTGGGTCGCGAGAAAAGCTCTGAAGCGGCCATTAATGGCGGAAGCTCTCAATCTAGCGGCGCTGCAATCGAAGTGGAGAACCGACCCACGGTGGGCTGGCAAGTTGGTGGAGCCTGTTATAGCAGCCGCGTGGTGATGCTACGATCGGCGACCGCGAACCGCCGTCCAACGAAGTCGGCGGCTGACCGACAACGGGATCGAGGGACTGGCTGCGAGATTTGTAAACGGGCAGTGAGAGCCGGAGCATCGACAGACCAGCTTCAGCCGGCTAAGCACGACGGTGGCCTGGGTGACGATGATGACCCGGAACAGTAGTAGCTTGTACAGCGACGGTGGTTTGGATCTGGAATTTTGAGATTGCTTCATTTCTTGATTTTTCTTTTGATTTTTCCAGAACAGTTGGACTGATTTCTTTGTAATTGTGATGAATTTTTTGTATATTTTGGGAGGAATCTAACTTGATTTTGCTCTAATCTCTCAACGAGAGCACCATTGATGGATTATAGGGTATCCAAGTATATATAAAATGGGAGAGATTTGAGCATATAGAGAGGAAGAAGATGAATGACTAGTAGAGTGTGAATGAGTAATTATGTTCTAGGGTTACAAATGGCTCCAAGAGGAGTATAAATAGGGAAATAATGGTCCGGGCCGCTAATATGGGCCCGGTAGCCCAACTACATAAAAGACTAATCTAGTACATAGTTACATACAAATGACATATAAGCAGTACAATAATACAAATGATATCCGTAAGATGTGTGTGGGCCGCTGTCCGGGCCCAATAGTCGTGGGACCCGGAGGTCCGAGTCTATATACTCTATCATTATGATATTAATTTTCTTGTAATAACACAGTGCTCATTATTAGATTATTAATACTCATTAAAATTGGACAGTTGGTTATTAAGAGGGCCGACTCAGAGGGAGTGCAGAGTATGGGCAGCCCAATCGCACGTGGCCCAACAAATTGGAGGGCCGAAAAAAATTAGTAGTACTATTACTACTACTCTACTGCTCCGTATTAGTTAGTCACTTAGCCCAATAGCAAAATTAAAACAAGGAGCGAAAGACGGAGTTGAAGGGCTGAAAGGCGTGAAGCGAAGGGGGCGAGGGGCGAACAGGGCAACTGCGATTCTGGATTTCTGCTAAAGACAAAGTGCGAAAGGCCGAACGGCGCAGCCGCATAGCCAGCGACTGAGTGAGACGAGCGACGAGCCGATTCATCCGACGAATCTCTGTCTCCTTCCCATCCGCAATTGACGAGCAGACTGAGCGAGACCTGCGACTGGAGACTGCGGTTCTTCACTCGTTTTCTTCTTCCCATCAGCAAATCGATGACTCCACTACTCCAGGTAAGTCCTCCACTCCTCTGTAACTAATAAGAAATAAATTAAATTTATTAATGTTTTCATTATTATTTTTTGTGTGTAATTTATGACTTTATGTGAATATGTGATTTTAATCATTTCATAGGACCAATGGGGAATAGGGATTTAGGGTGTCCGCCTACTAACTTGATGAATTGATGAAATAATGAAATTTAAAAAATTAGGTTGTTATGTATAATTTAATGTAATTGATTGATGAATTAATTAAACTATTTATATTTAATAAATTGGTATAAATATGTTTATACTTGTTAAGTTGTTAGTTATAGTCCTTAAACAAAAAATAAATCAACTTTTCACTAAAATCAAACTTACAATAAAACCATATGGAATCAAAAGGATTTGGATTCCACGAGCAAATAGGGGGATTAACTCTGTGTTAGTTCTACAAAATCTTGGAGGAGCAATCTTGTTACAATATTATGCATTCCATTCCATGGTGTCCAGGTACTGCTCACTAGTTTGAACAGTGGATAATTGCCAGCTTACTTTGTTTCAATCTGCTGCTAGTAATGGTTATTGTAGATGATGATCTATGTAAGGCTCTTTTTTTCATGTTCTGTTGATTAAACCATCTTATCTTGAAAAGAGGCCTTATTCACACAAATTATCTTCTTGTGGCTTTGGGTTTGGGTTTGGGTTGTGTGTTGTACTAAGGGTTTGTTCTTTTTCACACAGATATTACTAATTCTATTCAGCCACTAGTTTCAAGAAAAAAGTACTGGATTATTGGAGGATTTCAATAAATCGATACTTTTCACTTGATGAGTGCTTTGGTTTTTATTATTATTTTCTTTATGAACTTCTAATTTAACACAAATTATCAGTATTTGTTACTATTATGATTTTTATTTATGCTTTATTTCTATTTGGGTTAGAAAGGAAGGCCCAAATTTTGTTATTGCATAGGGCCTCCATTTTCTCAGGACCGGTCCTGCTCATTAACAATACACAAATGCTCATTTAGCAGAAACCACGATTTTCACAGTGATTACAAAAATGCCACAGAATTGTTTTTCTATTTTTTCCTTGGGCCTGTTACTTATGGACTTATTATGGGTCTGTTTCGCTGCCTATTATTTTGTTCCTTGGATTATTTCAAATTTCAAACATACTTTTTTTATTTCCTTTATACTCCGTAGTTTTGCATAGCTTTTAAAAATGTTTTCGATTCTTTATTTAAAGGAGCTTAGAAATACTGTTTTCAAACAATAATAATGACATAAATAATAAGACCAACTTTTGATTAGACAAATATAGGGTTCATTTTTTATTTGAGCAAAATAAGATTAATTTTTTATGAATAGTTAACATGTGATTATTTTCAAGTTTGTGTAGTACTGATTTTATGGCCATGACGATTTTATACGTAATACGGATTAACTAGGAAGATATTGGAAAGGGAGTGCAGCACAGAATCATCTGTGGCTGTGTAAGACCCTACGCCATATCCCCTCGCCCTCTGTTTGGTCACTCCACTTCCGGCTTCCCAACTTACTATATTCTGATCCGATTTTGCCATGGATCAAATGCAGCTGTAATATTGTGCTCATCTACAATCGGAGCCGGAAGAAACAAATATCAAATTGATACACTATCGCTATTATGTCGGCAGTTTCAAGAAGGCTCTTTTCTCGCATCCGGCTTCTATCGACTGGTCAAGCTGCGGTCTGTGTGCCTTCTTCAGCTTTCTTGTCGCAGCAGTCGTGGAGGGCTCTGAGCACCGATGCCGTTGAGGCTGACATATCCAACCGGATTATCGAGGCAAAGCCCCGAATTATGACCGGCCAATCAAAGCGCACCGGCGCTATCGCCATCAAATGTGGGATGACCGCTCTCTGGGACAAATGGGGTGCTCGGGTTCCCATCTCTGTTCTCTGGCTCGAAGATAACATTGTTTCCCAAGTTAAAACACCTGAAAAGGAAGGAATCTTTGCCCTCCAGGTAAGTCTCTTTAGCTTTTTAGTTTATAAGATCAGAGTGACATTTCAAATGAAACACCTTTAATGCTGCTTTATAGAAACAGGGTCAGTTCATTTAGTTGGGCTGGATTGGCTGTTCACTTTTTTTTAAATTGATTGTCTTACTAGATTGGATGCAGCCATAAAAAGGAGAAACATTTGACCAAGCCTGAAGTAGGTCACTTTAGAGCTCAAGGTGTGCCCATGAAAAGGAAGTTAAGAGAGTTTCCTGTCTCTGAGGATGCCCTTCTGCCTGTTGGGACTTCCATTGGTGTCCGTCATTTTGTTCCGGGTCAGTTTGTTGATGTCACTGGCATCACTAGAGGCAAAGGGTTCCAGGTAAATAAATGATCATTTTTATCCATATATTATACTTGGAGTTTACTACGTCATTTTGTTTTAAAAGGAATACTCATGTGCCTCATGCCTTGCTTCTTTCTCCAAAACAGTTGTTCTTATATTGTTCAGTATTGTAACAATGTCATGTTTTATATCTCAATGTTAGGGTGGAATGAAAAGGCATGGTTTCAGTGGTATGCCCGCGTCTCACGGTGCATCATTATCTCATAGGAGTATTGGGTCTACTGGTCAGAGAGATGCTCCTGGAAAGGTTGGTCACTTCCCCTTACATTTACCATTTAGTTTTAGCTTTTTTTTAGTCTGGGCGTATGTTATTTTAATGAACTTCAAGGCTTCAACTATGTCTCATGACTTATGGTAGCATTTAAAGATCACATTATTCAATATATTTTTTCACATTTGCGAGAAACTTATCAACTCCTTTGATCAACCAACATCTACTGACTCAAAAGTTATAACCTCAGTTAATTTATTATCGCAATGTAGTTATCTCATTTTCCTATTTAGGCCCTCGTTTTTATAGGTCCTTGTGTTTGTGTTGTAGCTATCTCATAGAAACCAACCACCCCCACGAGTGTTTATGAAATTGTATTTTCCTCAAGTGGTGACTTCGCTGCACCTTCTCAGTGTAGTTGCTCACTGGAGCTATTGCCTCCCGTTGGTTTCTTTTGTATTTCTTTTTTTAACACTTCGTTTCAACTCAATTAAAATTGTTTGTGTGATTTATAAAATTAATATTGTAAGAAAGACAAACTATGTGTGCACCTGTGGCATAAGTATGGCGGGGCCCTTTCTATCTGTTTGTGTGTGGGTCTGTCTTATACCTAAAAATTATCATTTTCAATCTGCTATACAAAAACACTTGTAAGAAGAATTCTCTATCTTCTCTGTAACATAACTCCTAGCAAATACATCATCTCTCGACACCTTGGCTTCCATGAAGCTAACCCTACTACCTCATACGATTTTTTCAGAAATCAACTTTTAAATCTACTGATTTAGAATCACAAACACGCCTCTTTCAATATGGATGGACTATGGAACTAGAATTTCCCTGTCTTCGTGATATGTATACGATACCCCCACCCTTTTTTAGGAGGAGTGCACTTTTATCAGGATAGACTTGCACAATCTACGCATCAATCTATTTATAGTATCATGTCCACATTCGACATTGCAAAGCCATGAGGATCTAAATCGTAAGCAAGCAACTGGGTTATTGCAATATATGACATGAAACCTCCACTGCAAGAAACCTTAGGCCCTGTTGTGTGTTGGTTGTGGTTACCAGTTTTCAGTATTTGGTTTTATGCTTTTAGAAGTCATGTACTCACGTGATATAATTTGTACAATATACTAAAAGTATTTAAACTCATTTTAATCATGTAGTTTTGTAAATTTCCAGCAAAATACTTACAACCATATATTTTGTTTCCTAAATCTGGTTTTTAGTTTTTCTTAAATAAAAAACTGAAAGCATCAAACCACCCTAATAGGGCCTTGGGTAATGATAACATCACATCAAACCATTATAGTTCTGTTGCCTTTGTTTTTTCAGATATTTTTTAGTTGTAACTTTTTAATATGCTTATTTTTCCTTTCCTTTTCTTTTCTTTTCTCAACAGGTATTCAAAAACAAGAAAATGCCTGGGAGAATGGGTGCAGTGCAAAGAACAGTTAAAAATGTTTGGGTTTACAAAATTGATCCGGCGAGAAACTTGATGTGGGTTCGAGGTCAAGTAAGTTTTTCTACATGACTACGTCTCCATCAGACTCCATCCCTTGGCTAAAATAGTTGTCAGAAGCTAAGTTTTTATACTGAGTAGCCATCTTTTATATGATTGCTGGTGATTATTTCTTCTTCATATATATGTATTTGTCAATATAGACATTTAGAAACCAAAGTAAAGGGTTCACTTGCCTGATGTAGAGTGATTGTACAGTAATCATGGATGTGAAAACTGGTTTGGATGTACAGTAACCATGACTGTACAGCCAAACTTGACATCATTATTCATATTCGTATTCGTTTAATAATCAAATCATTTTTTATATTTCATATTCACTTTGTTTGTTATATCCGAATATTTTCCTATTCTAACTAGAAAAGAATTAAATGTCAGATTTACCAAAGTAATTAAAATAATAGTGTATAGTTTGTCCTTTTGCCTCATTTTTTGTAGCACGTCTTTCATACAAATCTAAATTTAATTACAATTAAGTTCGCCAAAATTAATATCAATGTAAACAAGTCAACATAGAATTATATCCGTATTCGATTTACTTGATTACGAATTCATATATGTTGATGTCTCAATGTTGATGCATTCTTAGTTGTGAGGCTATGAATTATGCAATAACATGCGTGACTTATGAATATATATTTATATTAGGTGTTTATTTGTAGAAAAGAAAATACACCCTTTTGGTACGATGATTATTAGGCATTTTTCACTTTTGGTCCATTGTTTTCATTTAATACTTTTTGGTCTACAGGTTCATGGATTATATGGAGTAGGTCATTTTCATCTTTGGACCTTGACTTCATTTTCCCCACTTTTGGGTTCATGTCTTTGATTTTATTTCTAAGTTCTGAAAACGACACTTGTAAGAATTAGAAATACTGTTTACTTGATGAGAGGCCCGTTATTTCAGACTGGTTTCTCTCAGCATTTTTTTAATATGTTGTCACTTGGACATGTTTTTCAGGTTCCAGGTGCTGAAGGGAACTTTGTTTTCATAAAAGATGCAAATTTCAGGAAACCAGATGTATCTATTCTTCCCTTTCCTACCTATTTTACCCCTGAAGACGAAAATCCCGAAGATTTGGAACCACTGGTTGCTGAACTTGGCGAAACTGATCCATTCATGGCTGCTGATTAGTGAGTGGGACACTGCATGTTCTTTTCTGTACTTCTCTCATTTTGTTCATGTTTGTGACACTATATAGATGGTTAATTTATAAATAGCTCATAAAATTTGCAAGGAGGTGATGCTTTCGCTTGTTTGCTTTTTTTTACCATTGGTTAGAATTTAGAACGCTCATTGCATAAAAATACAACTCCTTTTATGTCCCCTGAAAGTTATAGCCTAGATCATTCAATGACAACTCTGAATTGTTCTTGCAACTTGGACTGTTTTTTGGAATTTCTGGACCAGGACACAAATTACAGTGAGGCCCTCACAATTTGGCTAATTTTAATTTTTAGCCCAAAAAACCAGCCAACCCCATCTTCTTTTGCCAATTCCGCTAAATTCACATTGTCTATTTGAACTTGTAAGGACAAAATTATATTTCTTTATTTACTTGCCCCAATTAAAATTTTACTCTACCACATAGTGCATACTGCATACTCTTTCAAAAAATACACACTTCAGAGCAATTATAGGCAAATAAATGGTTGAACATTTCTTCAAGTAAATTAAAATAATGGATATATTTTGTGGGAAGTACCAGCAACAAAATACATTTCTAACTACAAGATGTTACAAAACTGACAGTAATTATTTTTACACTGAAACAAAGAGAAAAAGGCACTTGGGTTGGAGACATCGGGCAAGTGATGGTTGTCTCGGATGTCGGTGGGTGGGGGTGTCTACTGGAAAACATACAAAACAGAGCACAATTACTAGATAGATTTCAGGCCAAGGAAGAATGGTGCCCCGGTGCCTGGTAGCCAGTGGCTGCCTTGAATAAACCGTTCAACTGTAAATCTCGTAGCATCATTAGCGTTTGCAAGGACATGGTAACCCTTCCAGTTCACCCTATTGGACGTAACAGCTCCTGGGCCACGGTTCCCGAACTCTGCATAATAGCAAGTGTCCAGACCAATGTCTCCGGCCCAAGGCATCCACCCTTCTGGCTTGATGAAATCCCCAATCGTGGAATGGAGTATCACTGTCCTCGAGTATGGCTTCCATGGTCGGCCCAAGTACGACGGGATGTCAACCTTTTTTGCCTCAAGAGTATCCTCGGCGATGATCTGACAGTTCTGGATAACTAGCCCGGTGGGCTCTGCCATGTGCGTCCGTCCGTGTGCTGTCACACTATTTTGTTGATTGTCCATCGGCTTCCTCACTATGATCACTGAATTCTGGATGACTGCTGCAGCGTCTCCGAATATGAAATCAACGGTGCCGGTGATAATGCAGTTGCTATAAAACTGTCTGTGGGTTTGCGTGTATAAAGTGTCTTGATATCCGTCCATTCTACAATTGTAGAATGTTGACATGTCGGATTGTACCCTCAATGCCACCGCTTGGTGTCCTTCCGGCCCAGCCGTGTTCTCAAACCCCATATCTCTACATATGAATCCCTTCCCAACCACAGCTACAAAGTATAAGGATAGAAAATATGTTATGATAAATTGAAAAATGATTCGCTTTTATATGAAATCATTCTTAATGCACTCGAGTATCTGAAATGTACCGAAAGGGGCGGTTCGGAATGTGGAAACGCCATCACGGTTGCATTTCTTGCCGGTGACGATGGTCTTTGTAGGGCCGTCGCCGTACATGAAAATATTAGGTTGTTTCCTTGTGATCAGAACGTCCTCATCGTAAACTCCAGCTTTAACGTAAATAATGTATCGCGTCCCATTTCCTTCCGGCCCTGGATTGTAAGCTTTCACGGCGTCCGCGATGCTTGTGTACTGCCCGCTGCCGTCTTTCGCCACCACCACGTTCGGCTGCACGCTGACGCTCCCTCGTACTTGTCTGCCACGCCCGCCGTTCCTGGCCATCAGCATTTTCCTGTCAGACTTTTTCATCCAAGCCGGAAGATGAACCCCCTTGAGGGATCTCCCGTTTCTTGTTGTGCCCTCTTCGCTGTCGACCATGGTTGACTCACCGGAGGAGGATGAGGAGAAGGAGTGCTCCCTGTTAGAGCTAGACGCTCTTCTTTCCTCGTCAGAGGAGGAAAATGACGACAAATCATTACTCTCTGTTTCCCCGGAGGACCCATCGTCGCCTGAGGAAGCGGCAGCGGCGGAGCCACCGCCGAAGGAAGCTGCAGCGGCGGGATACCCTTTTCGGGCGGAAACAGGTTGGCTTTGAGGTGGGTTTAAACTGGTGAGGATTTGAGGAATGGCAGAGACGATGGAAAGCGCTTGCCCGGTATGAGCGATGCTGTTCTGCAGGATGCCATTGATGCCAGACTGAAGATCAGGCTTGGTGAAACCATCTATGCAGGTATTGGAATAAGACAAGACGGCGCTCAGCCAGTTTTTCAGGTCGCTCAGGCGTTGGGCCAGCGACAGGAGAGGGCACTCGCCAACGGAGGTCATGGAATCCTGCAGCTCTTCAATGGCGTAATTCATCAACTCCCGACAATCGTCAATTGCCATCTTGTTCAAAGAATCATCGGCTAGTTTGGCGAAATCCGCGACTCCATTAATGACATTCTTAAACTGCTGAAGAGAAAGGCGGATGGCGGCCTCGATGTAGTCCTTCGGCTGGGGCAGCCGGAGGGCGGCTTGGACGATGTTATCTCTGCTCTGTTTCGTAATGCCTAAAGGATCCAACAGACCCACCGCCGGGCTGTTCAGGGCGGCCATTGAAAGATCGGTCAGAAGCTTCGAGCTCGTGGAGAGGTGCGCACTTTCGCTGCCGTTGTTTTCCGCCTCCACGGTGGCGAGGCTCATCGCCGCCGCAACGGCGATGAGGAGAATAGAGGCTCTGAGTATGCCACCCTGCATGTTTTTTTTATATTTTTTTTCTTTTTATTATTATTATTATGTTTAGAGTGTTGACTGGTCTTTTTATAGGGTCTTGCATGGAGGATATTCATGGATGCCCATCAAGGTAGGGAGTAAGAATGAATGGAGGTTGATAATCAATTGTGCTACTGATATCAAAATGTGTTGTTTATGTGCATTTGAAATGGATGTTATTTTAATTCCATTGATTTACCAATGGTTGACAAATTAAATACTACGTAGTGTATTTGTTATTGTTGCCTCATACCATGTATTATCTAAAGTACGTACTATTACATATTCTAAAATAAGACTATATATTTTTATTTTATAAATATGAGTAATTTCTTTATACTAGGACTTGGAAGATACTGAAACTTTTGACTATCATGTTTAAAGTCTGGTAATGTCAAGATGACATATTTTCAATATGACACTAATGTAACCTTATTTAGGAAAACATTACATATTACTCATATTTTGAAGTTCACGAATACTTTTACTCATATTTTGATAATTTCGCTTATTATCTAATATAACTACTTGGTCCTCTATACAGGGGCGGTCCTGTCCATTTCTGGGCTTATGGACGGTACACTATTTTGGGCATATATCCATGACAAACAGTAAATCATATGTGGGCAATGAAGTTCATAAAATAAAGACGAGAATCACTTTATTATTATATAAGTTACATATTTGGGCAAAAGTAACAACACGAGTATCGAATAAAAAAACATTACTGAAAAATGTTCTCGTAGACCAATGCGAAGCAAATCATTAATAATTTCTTCATAGACAGCCTTCTTTCCACTAATAAATATGACAAACAATAAAATTGCCAAATATAACAAGAGTAAACTTTCTTTTGAAAGGATAAATGAAAAGAAATATTACCACATATTGAATACATAAGATGAGAATGATTTATTATGACAGTCTAAAGTTTGAAGTCTCGAAAGAAGAAAGGTTTTTCAAAGAGACAAAATGTTTGGCTGACAAGAGGACTCGTGCAAGAAGATTGCAAATTTGACGTTCTCTAAAACTACTATTAGGAACATAGATATATCTTATTAATATTTGGAAACAAATGACTAATTGGGGTGAAATTTGAGAGAAACGGGATCTGAAATAATCATACAAATTTGTTATGTTATAATTATATTGAATAAAAAACCTTAAAAGCTAAAACGATGTTAGGAGTGGAGAGACGTGTCTTTTATTTATGCAGCAACAATTGTATTGCTTTTAAAAACTATAATCGATCCGGCTAGAAATTAATGTATATATTCTTTTTTAAACTTTTCTCTGTTTAAAACTCTTAATTTATGTTTTAAGTTTTCAAATTGTCAACAAAATTAATCATTATGCCTAATTAATTGAACTTAAGAATAAAAAAAGAAACATAATCACATAAATTACTCCCATATATCACTTAAGGTGTTAGAAAAATTACTCCAAACAGGAATAAAATATAAATAAAATGCACAAATAGAAGTTGTTATTTTTGTTCACAAAATAATACTTATTTGACCCTAAATTATGACCGAAAGCGTCCTAAGTTAGGAGGAAAGCAATAATGATTTATACGTACATTAGGAAGAAAATAATAATGATTCTGTTAGAGTCACTTATAAATGCTTAACTGTCAATTACTAATGAGTCTATTAATATTATGAATGAGTATTATTATAAATAATAAGCAGGGCCGGCCCAAAGGGAGTGTGGGCAGCCCAAACGCACAGGGAAAGCCCAAATAAATCAGTATTAGTATTACTAGTAGTCTACTGCTCTGTATTAGTTAGCCGAATTAGTTAGCCCAATAACAAAATTAAAACAAAGGTACGGGAGTGAAGGAGGGCTGAAGGCCTGAATTGAAGCTGCGAAGGGGGAGAGGCGAACTGCTAATCGACGAAGTGCGAAGGCCGAAGGGGCAAAACCGCAAAAGGCGTAGCAGCGGTGCATCCTACGGCGGTGTGTGAACTCCGCTTCAGCCTCCAGTTCTTCACTTCTGCAAATCTCCAATCGGCGACTCCACCAGACCACTACTCCAGTCTCTAGGTAAATCTTTCACTTCTCATCAACTAATAACTAATAAACTGATAATTTATTAATGTTTTATCTCATATTCTTTTGCATTTTTAATTTGGATCATTTGTTAATTAACTAATTAGTTATCTGTAAATACTACTTATATGATTGATGCCAGCCTGGCCATGTGATTAATTATTAAGTCTGGATAATTTGTGATTGAGTTTACCGAGTAATCAATTTCGTATTATTTGGTTATTCTGTTGTTAATTTTCTTTAACAAATTGATATAATTATATTATTAGATTGTTGCTTTTGCAATTGTTTACACTATAATACATTAATAAATTTTATTGAAAGAAATTTAGTTTTTAGGGGTTACAGTTTATACTCCTTAAGTACGCTTGAAGAATGTCTGATTATAAATGAAGTGCATTCTGTAGACTAATACTCTTATTTTGACTATTTTGTTAATCAATATATTATATTTTGATATTCATTATTAGTAATTTATCACTATTATCATCTTTACTTGTATTAAATTTGTACTTGTGTTAGAAAAAAGGTCCATTTTTTTAATTTTGCACCGGGCCTTCATATTCTCAGGACCGGCTCTGACTAATATTATGAATGAGTATTATTATAAATAAGTAATAAGAGAATAGTGCTAGAATTTTAATGGACAAATGGACAATAAGAATTAATTATTGTTATTGTTAAATCTTTTTGAACTCTGATTTTTTATATTGATTCATGTTAGTCGTCCCGAAACTTTTTTGAGATCAAAACTTGATTTTTTTGTTTTACTATTATAGACAAAAAATAATAATTAAGTGAACATAAAATGTCTTAATATCATCCCCTCATTGGTGATCGAGATGGTTGATGTTGTTAGAGAATTATAAAGTATTTAAAAGCGAGAAGTTTTTAAAACTACTTAATCATATATTATTGCTCTTAAAAAACCCAATATGATCATGTCCCCCACGATAGATTTTATTTTTTTGACACCAACCCTCATGGCCTCATGATAGACTGATAGGGACTTAAGAGCTATTTCTTGCACTAATATGATCTCTATAAAGTGCACATTACAAAGGTTTTGAATAACATACGGATAACGGGTTCTTTCACATCCAACTTTTGTTCCAAAGTTTTTTGTCATTTTCAAAACTTTTAACTAACCATATAGTTTTATTGGAACTTATTTATAATATAAAAATTATATTATAGTTTTATTGGAAAATGTTCTTTGTTCAAAGTACTTTCGTAAAAGAACAAAATTTATAATTTTCATAATATTATACCAATCAAATTCATGATTGAATTTTTATGAAATGACAAAGTTTTTTTGGTCGTGTATACAAATTATTTGTTCAAAGAAAAATGACAGTTTTTTTAGTTGTGTATACGAACATGATTAAAAAAATTATTTTTTTGTTCAAAGAAATGACGAATTATTTATAATGTCTATCGACGCGTATACAATATCTCCCTAAAAGGTTTACCTTATTGGCTTTTTTTAGTTAATAATGATAAATTCTAGATAATGATTTTATCATTTTACTTATTATATTTCTATATAATTTATACATTTTACACTTTTATAAAAATATTTTAAACAAGGAATATTTTTATATAATTTTCATATTCAAAATAATTTCGTATTAAAAAATATCATTGTCAAAATTGATTACCATTTACCAAGAAAAGATAAATTGACAAACTTTTTGTAAAGGAGGAAGTATATACTACGTCCATAATTTCTTACCCTTATTACCTTATAAGACATATGGTTTTTAATGAGTTTTAACTTTTAACTATATTGGAATGATATCTACTAGTATAATAACAGTGATACTAATCAAACAATTTCTTTGTCATTATCATCACATTTCTATTATTATTTTTATTTACTTATTCGTTTTTAGGATTTTTAAAACTAAATAACGAAAGCGTAAAACATAAAGTAAACTTAAATTTGAAACGGTATCTTTTTTTTATGGATTAAAACCAATAACACAAATAAAAAATAATTTATTAAATTTAAGGAATAACTTTTTTTCTATATCTTTCAAAACAAATTTTCTTTTCTGTATTAAAGTTGTAAGAAAATTTACTCTAGACTTTTTTTACTTTAATGCAAGAAAACTTAAATTAAAGTTGTTAAAAAATAATTTTTTTACTCTAAACTTTAGGTCGTTTGCCCAATTATTGTATTCCTTTTTAATTAATTCAGGGGCTTTATAATATTTTCATTAATGTAAGGGTCTAACAATTAACCTTTAAGTCCTTCAACATCTTGTTTGATGCCCCAAACTTGCGAAAATCATATACAAATTACAGAGGATAATATTATAGTGTCTTCCGAGCCCTAAATCACTCCTGCCACCAAATCCTTGCAGATAGGCAAACCATGGTGGAACCGAAGCCCTTAATAGGGCTAACGTGGGAACCGAAGCTGCCTGGACTTCCAGTAGCTGACAAGCAGAAGCGTCACCACTCCCAGCCCCTTGAAACTAGCACCGCTCTTTACATGCCCCGTTCGGAGCTCGTCGATGGTCTCTTCGTGCCGCCCAGAGATCCCAAAAAGCTCAGCTTGTTACGCCGCAAAGAGGTCAAAGACACTGCTGGGAAAAACTGGTAACCTATTTTCTCCCTTCTTTTTTGCTATTAGTAATTATGATTAGGAATATAATCAACAGTGTCTGATGTTACGCTTGGGATGGTCTCGTATGTGCAACAGGTTTGACATGCCTGCACCAACCCTTACTCCGGAGCTAAAAAGGGATCTGCAGTTATTGAAGGTGCCTTCTCTTTCCTTTTATGCGCTTAACAGGGTAGTTAAATGAGGTCTCTTAATGTCACATTATGAACCCTTATTATTATTATTATTATTTATATGATGATATTTAAATGGAATTGCTTTCAGGCTAGAATTATTACATTGAAATATGCCGGTGTGTAATGCACTGTAACAGCATCAATAGTTGCAGTCTTGCAGATTGACTCCATTTTTAAGTTGATTGTTTAAAGCTTTAAAGTGCCTTGTGACCTTGTCTAGGGTAAAAGTGACGAGTAAACTGATTAAAGACAGGGTCATCAATTGTGGCTAATTTAATCATTTTTAACTGTACTTTGGTAAAAGTGTTGAGCCAACCTGATTTACAGGTATTTGGTTATTAGCAATGGCTTATTTATTCATTTTAATTGTAGGTGAGCATCTTTTTTAATTCAAGTTATTTAAATTAGGGGGAATTTGACTTTGCACCCTGCTTTGTGGGTGATATTGGACTTTGCACCCCATTTTCAAAAAACTTTGATTTTGCACCCCATCACATGACATTTTGTGAAGAAAATTTGTGAATGGGGTGCAAAGTCAAAGGATTTTTAAGTGAAATGGGGTGCTAAGTCAAAGTTTTTTGAAAATGGGGTGCAAAGTCCAATACCACCCAAAAAGTGGGGTGCAAAGTCAAATTCTCCCTTTAAATTAATACATAATCATTGCTTGTATGTTTGTTAATGAGGAAACATAAGCCAAAGATGTATACAGATTACAGAGTACATTTTATTGAAGAGCACTCTTAGTCCCTTTATCTTTAAAAGATGTGTTCTTTAAAAGATGTGTACTTTTCAGGGGAAATGAATCCTACAGCTCTTCCATAGAAGTAACATTAAAATACCAGGCCCTACAAATATGTGATCTGGGCTATTAGATTTGAATACTACTTGCATGACGGGTTAGAAGTACACGTTCGTGATGCCAAGAAGATTTTCAAAAGATGAGTGTGATTGATATGTGCATGCTGCGTTGGATGTGTGAACATATTAGAAAAGACCGCTTAAGGGATTAGACAATTAGACAGAAGGTGTGAGTAGCACCTATTGAAAATAAGATGCGAGAGTCTCGATTGCGGTAGTTTGGTCATGTGCGTAGAAGGCCGAGTAATGCACATGTTAGACGAGTTGAGAGGTGTGGAGAACAGGTGGGGAAGATAGGGAGAGGAAGACCTAGACAGGTGTGGATTAGAGGAGTCGGGAGTGATAAGTTTCTTCTTCGGCTGGACGAGAGTATGACTTTGAAGAGAGCAAGTGGAGGGCGGGTATTCGTGTGGCGGATTAATCTCTTTTTTTCCTTTATCTTCTTTTTCTTTCTTATGTTTTTTCGTTCCTTTTATCTTTATATATACTTCCTCCGTTCTTAAATAAATGTAACGGTCAACATTTCACACTTGCCGAGACACAACTTTGACCATTAATATAAATGATTTTGTATTATCTTTATATATACTTCCTCCGTTCTTTTATCATACATTATCTTTTTTCGTTTCATACTATTCTTTCCCTTTTGGCTCCGATCTCATGTATCGATTCATGTTAGCCGACTCCAAAATCTTTTGGGGCTAAGGCTTGGATGTTGTTGTTACTAGAAGGATGAGTAGGCGTCTTCACAGGATATCCGAAACTGGATTTGGTTAGCAAATGTGTGGTTTCTTGTTTAATCGAGGAGCTAAGAGCTCAGCTCTCGATGTAAGACAAAAGATGGAGAAATCTTTTGGATCAGATCAGACATGTGAAGAACGTGAAAGCCATCTGATGTATTTATTGAATTTAAATCTTCTCTTTCCTATTGGATGCTTTCATCAACTCATGACTTCTCTTTTTCATTTTCTCTTCTTGAAGCTCATATTTGAGTGTGCAACCTATGAATCTATATAGTCTATACATTTGGGGAATGATACGGTTTGCATTTTGCTTATCCTTTTGTAGATTGGTTTGGATTGGTCTGTATACTTTACTGATGGTACCCAAACCTGTCTCGGTAATAGGAGTATCACTTTAGTTGTAGACATCCGCTTTCCAAAGAAATCACTTTCACCTATGTAGTATAGATATTTAGGAAAAGTGTCAAATAAGTCCTACTACTATATCCAAAAAGTCAATTCAGTCCTTGTACTATAAAATCATTAAATTAAACCCTCAAACTATTCAAAAAGATTCAATCCGGCTTTTTAGCCGGTTGAGTTTGGATTATACCTGTACCATCTTGCGTGGCTAGACACGTAGCATAAATCACGTTGGCAGCTTGCCACTCGGTCATCATTTTCTTTTTTTCTTTGTTTCTCATTTCTTCGTCTAGAATTTCCAACCCTTCCTACATCTCTGCGTTTCTCCTCTTCCATTCTCTTTTTTTCTTTTTCACTTTTGATTTCATTCAAAAAAAAGTTTTTCTTTTTCAGTTTTAACTAGTAAATCTGCTGCATAAATTTTAGACACAAGAGATGAAACTTAATCCTAAATCTTTTGAAAGAAGTAGATTGGACCCACTGGTTTTTGTGTGCCATCGGCTTGGTGGGTGCCTGAGAATGAGTTGGGTGCCCGTAAGCTTCCCATAATCCCTCAATTGTGCCCAAACATCCTCTTGGTTATAACCCTTCTTCATCGCAGGTCCATAGCCGTATTGACACGGCTATTGATGCAATCATATTGACGCATGTCACCAAACTCCCGACATCGTCGTATGGACGCAGCCATCAGAATTCTGAGTTTGTTGAAGGATATGGACACTTGACGAAGCATAGAGGTTGGAGGAAGTTAGGAGTAAACAGATCTGAAGGAATAAAATGGGAGAGAATGAAAATATTGGAGCTTCCGCTCTCGACAGAGTCGCATCTCATCACTGGCGATAGGAGTGTGCAGTCGGCGTCCGGAGAGGCACTAGGGGTGTGCAGCCGGCGGATGCAATTGTAGGTCGGTTAGGTGCAGAGAACAAAATGTCATGGAGTCGCTATGTGCTATGTAGACGGCAATGATGTCACTGACTCACCCGTCTCACCGTACAACATAATAGAAAAAGAAAAAAGGTGAAAATAAATAGAAAAAGAATCGGAAGAAGAAAAAGGATATCGGCTGCCACGTCAAGAGTTAACAGGGGAAACCGGTTAGTTACCTGCAAAAGAAGCAATTGAATGTTTTTTAAAAGTAGGAGGGTTTAATCGATTGTTTTTATAGTACGAGGATGTAATTGACTTTTTCTGTATAGTACAAGGACCTATTTGTCAATTTTCCCTAGATATTTCATCCCCTTTCATGGACATCTTAAAGAAATGACTGAATGAGATGACTCCAATTGTTTCTTGGATGATATTGTTGATCTCTGAGAGTTTTTGTGTTGTTGGTTTGTTGCAGATGAGGGATGCTTTTGATCCAAAGAGACATTACAAGAAAGGCAGTTCAAAATCTAAAGAACTTCCCAAGTATTTCCAGGCAAGTGAATGGTTATATACTTAAATTCTTATGTATTCTATTCTATCATGTGGCAGCTTTTCCTTTTCTCTTTGTTTATTTTGGCATTTAAAAGTAAGTTTTATGTTTGCTGGATCAGGTGGGTGTTGTGGTAGAGCCTGCGTCAGAGTTCTATTCCAGTAGACTTTCTAAGAAGGAGAGGAAGGCAACTCTTGCAGATGAATTAATTTCAGATTCAAAGCTTGCGCAATATAGGTAAGAAGGGAATGATGAGTTCAAAACATAATCTTGATGGATTAGAATACTGGTTTAAATAACACTAGAACAATTGATGAGATGAACTAAAACACTTAGCGCATCATTGATAGCATAAACTTTCTGCAAATCTTTATAATACTAACTTAATTGTCTGCCCTGGTTGGATTGGCTGATAACTGAAAAAGTAATGCAGATGTTACTTTTTTTTGCTGAGCTGAAAGCAAAGGACACTTTTAGTTTCATGTCAGGGAATCATTTTTAAAAAAGCACGCCTAGAATTATCATTTGTATTTTTAGCTAATTCAGCTAATTTGAAAAAACCGGGTTTACTTGAAGGACTCTTCAAGCCCATATAGGAGCAAACGTAAACGTGGCTGAGATCACTGGAGTGATGGAATTTGTTGAAATTATGGATGAACTTCTTAATCATGAAAAATATACTTAAAATATGCTTTCTGAATTCATTTAAGAAAATTGTATTTTAAAATGAAGGTAAAAGACTCATTTTCATCAGTTTCTGTTACATTGGCAAAAAAGTACCTTCTGCACTGCTTTTTCATTATCAAGCCAACACAGTGAAATAAATTAGCGTTTTATGTAATAATGCCGAACATTATTGATAAATAGAAACAAGGTATCACCATAGCACTTTTATTCTCAGTTGCAATTTACCATCATGTTCCCCATGTACCACACCATGAAACAAAGCTAGTCAACACGGTATTACCTAATAATGCTTTTCAAATATTGTCTTCAGGAAGCGCAAGGTTCGTGAAATTGAAGAGCAAAAGCGGCCAGGGGTAGTGAGCAAGTGGAAGAACAAAGGCAAGCATTCGAGGAAGCGTGCAAAGCAAAGGAGGCAATGATGGCTTTTGTTGTCACTCCCAGCGGCAATCCTATAGCAACTCTATAATTGGAGAGACCTAGCTACACTTTATTTGTTAGTCTGATGAGCTTCAAGGTTGGTCAAGGACTTGACATTGGATTAGTGGAGACGAAGCTTCATTCGTTTTGGTAAATTTGGAGGAACCTGTAGAACCCTTGTTGCTTATGGCCTCTGTTTACTTCATTCAAACAGTTGAATTTTGATGTTACTGTTAAAATGTTATATCCCCTCGCATTTTTATACTTGCTTCTTGTTTTTTAATACGGAGTAATATTTTTCATATACTCTGTAGTACGTTTTAAAAATGATCGAAGGGTCATTTCATCACTCTTTGAAGCTGTTAAACAAGATCCAGATTTAATTTTTCACCAGTAAACATTCAGTTATCGATAAGGAGTTAACCGTAATCTTATGTGGAAGCTAAATGTTCAAATAAGTTCTTGAGCAAATGGGAAATAGAAAAAACATCAAGAACAACTATAAAGTATAAATATAAAATAAACAAATAGAAAAATGTAAATAGAAATTATGTGTTTAGCTGTAATTTTGGTGGTAAGTATAAACGTCCCCATGAGTAACTTTACTATTTGTCATTGAATAAAATTGCTCAGATGATAACACAATTGTTATTTTCAAAATGGTAATTTATGATAGCAATAATTTATCACAATTTATAAACTGATGGCATATAATTTGAAAATATATATATCATTTGAAGCTTTTCCTAATTCTAAATTTCTTAAGACGAGTAGTAGTTGTACCAACTATTCGAATTAGCTATTTAACATCTTCAATTGTCATTTATTTAAGCTTAAATATAACTGCTTTAGCTCTCTTTTTTCCTTGATGTCTTGTTTTTGTAATTGGTTGAAAACAATAAAAATAAAATTGCATATTGAATTTTGTTCTAGACAACATCAAAAAATGGTGTATAATCTCAACTCTAAAAAATGTCAAGACCGTGGCCTGATAATTAGTCCATTCAAATACTGTTCAGTGATTTCAAAACCAAAATTTCAAGCTTTTTTTAATTATTTTTGAAACATTGTAAAGAGATCACTAAGCAACATGTTGTCCCCTCTCTTCCACTAAGTTTTGTCTTTTTTTTTTACTCCAGAGGCATCTGAAGCTCACTCACTGGGGAGCCTGGAGTAATCTAGACTGAAACTCACTCATTGAGTTTCGAACATGAGACCTCCCGTAAGGGAGACCGCTTCCACTAAATTTTGTCATCCTAACTTGTTTGGTTGCTCAAATACTTTGTCACTTGTTTGTGACTAATATTATTTCTCTCCTATGCACAACATGACACTCATTTACTTTTTACTTTCTTATTTCACGTGCTAATCAAACTTAGCCGATCTCAATGGAGCAGAGGGAATACTTGTCCATGTTCTACAACCACCTCGCAGTGCTGCTTCCCGTTTAAAACCAGATAGTCCCATTTCCGTTCTGAACCACAACCTTGTCTACCCCCAAAGACAGGTGGCATCAACTGCTACAATAATAGGAAATTGGTAATTGCAGCAAATTGTATTTCAATGTGGGCAAGGGTTGCAAGTTCTTTGATTGGCAATATTTACAGCACTTAAATTGATAAGCTTTAATGAAATTCCAAATGTCAGCAGCACTCAAGGCAATGGCTCTTGTGAATCTCCAAGCCTTGACAAGTGAAGGTAAGCATCTGTCCCTGTAAAATAGTTTTACTTCATAAGCAGATGAGGAGATTTTTTTTTTTTTTGGGGGGGGGGGGGGGGGGGGGGGCATAGGCTAGTTATCACTAAAATAAAATAAAAATACACATCCCAACAATTTTTCAAAGATATTTACAACAACATCCAAGGCTGGCTCAGGAAAATTTGTCATCGGCTAACATGAATTTTCCAAAGATATTTATTGTTGTAAAATCTAACCATAGCTCCAAATCCTCCAATTAACTCTCATTTAAGAGTTTGGTTCCAAACTTCAACCCAGTCCCACTTAAATGGCATGGTGCCTTTTTGAATAATAAGATGACTACGCACTACACCCCAACCTACCAATTACCTTGTGACTGGCCCATTATACAGCAATGAAGCTTCTATTAAATGGCTGTTTAAGAAAAAAACTTTATGCTAGTCAAGATATTCTTTGGACAAAGTGGCCATTTGGTTCATTACTAATATGGCTTATCGCCAGAGTTTAAACCAAATACTAAGGTATTGTACTATATTAGCTGCATCAATATATGTTTACAAAAATGTATTGTATACGTTGCTTTTTACTGCAATATCTGCAATGAAAATGAAGGCCCCTCAAGCCACATAGTTTAAGTTCATAACTTAATACTACGTATTTCATTAACTCATTGGTTTAAAAAATTAATACTTAGTACAGGGTACATTCTTGCCCCCAAAAATGTGCCCTAAGAGATTCACAATTATTAACAGAAAAATCAAAGTCATTACTCCTTATGGCGAAATAAATTATGCTAGTCGGTGAAGAAACATCAAGATTCATGGTTCTAAAACATACCGTATCCTTCCATAGAAATCATTTGCAAGTCTCCACCAAAATAGCGAGCATATAAACGACTTATTGGTAGCCCATACCCATAGCCAGCTAATGTGGACATGGTTGCCTCATCAGCAGTACCAAGATCTGAATGCTCATCTAACGGGTTCTTTGCAGTGCTGTAGAGATATGTAAAAATTTTAGGGAGGCCACTTCTTCGAATTCCACCCCCTTCATCTGAGACCTGCAGGAAAAATTAAAACAGTCAAAGCAATGGACTGAAAGATGAAGATCCGGACATAAAGTTGGCATTTTCGTGGCCTTATGACTTATGAGCAAAACTATTCACCAAATACAACTTATACCATCTATTACAGTAATTCATTGTGTGGCCAGAACTAGAGAGTGAGAAAAGTAGTGCTGAAGTTACTTTTTTTTTGCTGGAATGGTTGAAATTAATAAAAAATGATTTTTTTTTTATGTCACTTCAACCCTCATTTTCAGATGCTAATTTTGTTAGATTATTTATAGATAATTTTGCAGCAAATATTTAGCATTTCAGTGATTCAGCCGTTTCATGATTTTAGCCACAATTTTTCATGATTCAGCCAATTAAGTCACTTCACCCATTTTAGGCCTTACCAAATAGGATGTAATGCAACTACATCCTTTAGACTCATTATTCGTTACAATATCTTTTGTCTATGAAAATGACAGGAAAAAATTCAAGTCTTCATCTCAAACTGTAATCAGTTTTTTTCTTTTAATAAAACTTTAAAGTAGCCTACCTTGATGGTAACATCTTCCAAACCATCAGCTACTATTATCCGAATGGGAGGTGAAACTTTATCTGATTCCATATATTTCTCTTGGACAGCACGCAAGGAGTTCTTAACCAATTCAAACACCATCAAATGTAGATGTGTTGGCACATACCTGTTTTAAAAAATTGAAAGCCAAAATAATGAAATGCAAAACAGAGAAGACATATGTAAAGATGCAATTTTAATCCTTATACCAAGCATCAGGCTATGATAAATTGTCTTTCTAACTTGGACAGAATTTTGATCGATGAAGATTACATCATTACCAAAGACAGTAACTACAATAAACTGTATGGATGAAGATGAAGAAACATCACAAGCAATTGTCTTACGGGAAAGTAAAATTGGGGTCCCCGTAAATGCTAACTTCAGGGGAACTGCCATACTCTCGAAGGCAAATGCAACGGGCATCCTCACTAGCATTTCGTGCAACCTCAACAGGAGACATTTTCGTATGTATGTAGCCAATACAATCAGGAGGAGGATTTGGGTCATGCAAGGCCACATGCTGTCCTGAGTGTGAATAAATCACGAAATAGTCTAAAAATATCTCTCTAATGAAAATCGATTTCATGAAGACAGATTTTTGAAGTGCTAGACTAACCAATAAGCATACGAATCCCAATTCTTGACATGTAGAAGCGGTCCAGGAACTGGTGAATTTCGTTTAGATCCTCATACACAACTTTAGGATTAAGATCCTTTTTAAGCTGTTGAACGCCCAAAGCCATCATTGGAACAACATTGTTGTGCCTCACCTTGATCATCTTGATCATTTGTGTGAATTCCAACTCATCAATTTTATCCTTTATGTCAGGGAAGGATCTAAGGTCACGGAAAGACTCCACATACCAATCCCGCACCTATGAAAGAAAGAAGAAAAACAAAGATAAAGCAACAGGGCGAGTAGAATACTAGATTTAAGTTCAACTCTCAGGGAGCACCGAGTTATCCCCTTATTTTGAACGGTTTAACAAGGATGCTTAAAAATTGCATAAATATACTGCTTTTATCAACCAAAAATACTCTGGAAGTCCGAAATCAGCCATTGCTAGAGGGAGAAAAGAGCAAACTGAAAAAACAGGGATGACAAGATTCTATAACAGAAATTGGACTAAACTGGGGGAATAAAATGAGTTGTCTAATTCAGCATGTGTAGGCTGACCGCCGACAAGTCAAATCACATAAATGGCACACAGAGAATATATAAATAGGCTCCAATTTAAAACCTTGAGAACAGCGGGTTTTAGAGAGAGCCCATAGGGAAGAGTTTGGAGGTCAATGGCACGCCGTGCAATCCGAATAGGGAGCTCTTTGTGGAGGAACTGGGAGGAGATCAGCAAATTCCGGTCGGTGGGTCTTGACCCGAACTCCATCATGTATCTCAGGCTGACACCCGTCTGCTTCATAGCCCCCCATCGCTGCACCTCCTCCATCAAACCCTTGCAGATCAGCGATTCAGACGCCTTCGCCGCCATTAACTCTTGCCAGTAGTTAAGTACAGGCACTAGAATTATCAAGTCGCGCCAGGAAGAATTTTGAGGTCTCAGTCAAATTCAAGTAGAGAAGAGAACGCCGCCGCGTCGAAGAAAGAGAAGGGGAAGCGCCAACGCCGTGTCTTTCATTTCCGCCGCTACAATCGACTGCGCATTTATAGAGCGGGCAGAGTCCTAGGAAATATGGCAAAGGAAGAGATGTGCCGCTTGATCAGTTTATCCACATTTCAACTTAGATAAGCGATCCCAATTTGGAGCTTTACGCTAATACCTTATTTTGTAGGAGCCACACAATCCAATGTTTAATGCCCAACGAGGTTTTCTTTTAGATTCCAGAAAACTGCTGAATAGGTCCACCTACTTATACGAAAAAATCAATTAAGTTCATGTACATTTTTCTGAGTCAATAAAGTTCGTTAACCATCAAAAAACGACCAAATCAGCTGTTTAATAGGTTACCAACCGGTTATCTGGTTAACAGCCTACGTGGACTTCCATCTGGCACTTTTTTAATATTTTCTATTTTGTTTTCTTTTTCTTTTTTCTTCTCTTTTTTTCTCTTTCTTCTTTTTCCATCTCCTCTTCTGCGTCTGCAGGCTACAACTACAAATCTATGGGATGGCAGTGGCGGCTATGGAGACCGGGTGGTTCGAGGAATCGAGGTTGTTCCATGGAAGAGGCGGAGCTGGAGACCGGTGATTGGAGGTCGTTCCATGGAGGCGGCGGCGTTGGAGACTGTGGAGGTGGAAGCCGGAGGCTGTGAGTACGGTGGTAAGGGAGATGGCTATGGAATCTGGCGCGGCTCGAGGTTGCTTCAACGAAGGAGGCGAAGGGGAAGACCACATAGGTGGTGGCCGGAGGGGGTGTGTATGGCGGGACGGGTGGTTGAGGTGAAGGTGTAGGTCGGGATCTGGAGACGGTGGCTATGGAGGCTGAAAAGTGGAGGTGGTGGCTAGAGAGACGGAAGCGTCGGAGTTGTTCCCGGTGAGAGCCAAGAAAGAAAGCAATGAAGGAGACAACCGGGTGGGGAAGGTGCGGACCAGGAAGAAGGAAGAGAAAAAATAAATAAAAGGAAAGAGAAAAAGGAAAGAAAAAGAAAATAAACGAAAAGAAAAGGAAAAAAATCCGAACACGGTAAAAAAATCACCACATAATGCATCCACGTAGGCTATTAACAGGATAACCGGTTAGTAACCTATTGAATAATTGATTTGGTCGTTTTTTGATAGTTAACAGACTTGATTGACTCAAAAAAGTGTACATGGACTCAATTGACTTTTTCGTGTAAGTAGGTGGACCTATTTGACATTTTTCCCAAAAAGTATTATAGTTTTTTATGAACTGCTTTTTATCAATTAAAAATATACTCCCTCCGTCCCGGTCATTTCTTCCAATTTTCCTTTTTGGGCCGTCCCAATTGATTCTTCCAACTTCCACTTTTGGAAAAAATATGTGGTTCACATTCATTCACCTTTTTCTTACACAACTACAACCATACATTTTCACTTTATTCCCACTACCTAAATTTGCGATACCGGTCAAAATTGGAAGAAATGACCGGGACGGAGGGAGTATTAAAATATTTTAATGGAGGACATGCGTGTTAAGGTGACAATGGCACCGAGTCACTGATTGTTAGGCGGTGGTGGAAAAGGTAGGGGCATCTATGTCACTAGTCTGCCGATGATTTTCATGCCAATAAAAGCATAAGTGAAACGATCCCTAACCAGTGTGAATTTTTCGGGTCACCGATGGGATCACTGACAGCGGATATTATTCCTGAAAAGTTGTGGATAAAAATGTGACTTAATAACTAACATAATCATCCACTACATCCATCAATAGTACACGAATTTTGGAGAAACGTTGAATGGTATGTAAATAAGGAACAAAGTAATGACAAGATCGATGACACAAGTGTTGATGATGTGGCCCTGAGAACCGTGGTTGATGCGTTTCAATTATGTCAGCACAAAGAAAAAAAGACTTTGTTAGGTCTCCTAGATTTTGATGAACAAGTATTGTTTTGATGATGCCACCCCTTTTTGTAATAATATCCATGTAATAGACTAGCACTTGTATTTGTTCTGCTACTGTTTATTGTAATGTGCTCAAAAGTGATAAAGTACTCAAGAAAAACAGAGAGTACTAAAAGAGAAGAAATGTACCATAAAACATTGAAGAAAAGAAACAAAAAGAAAAAAGGTACGAAAAGAGTCAACAGAAGTCCTTTTGAATAAACTAATCAGAAAACCTTCAATGACCTTCTGGTCATACCAGAGAACCTCAACTCTGATGGACATCAGAACTGATCAACTCTGGTAACACCAAAGTAAAGGTCTCTGATATATACCAGAAGACCTTCTGTTATGATCGTAACAGAAAACCTCAAACAAAGGTGGTTCTCTGTTTACACCAGAACAAAAGACCTCATAGGTATTCTGGTAAGGTATTCCGTTGAGGTATTCTGATATGAAGCTCAACATTTGCTATTCTTCTCTTAGCACAGAAACAAGAAGACAGAAGACCCACTTGGAGTCAGAATGACAGAATGCATAGAGAATAATGTTACAAGAAATTATGTGACAAAATTTCTTATAACATTATTTACTAAAAGCAAGTAATCTTATCTTGAAAAAAGCATTGAACAACACTCGCCCTAGATACTGAATTTCTGCAAGCTAAAAAGATAAAGATAAATTATCTTTATCTTTGCATTGAAATGATGAATCAAGTTGAGTGAAGATAAAATGATCCGTGTAACAAGAAGACAAGAATCAACCATGCTGCCCAGTCAAGTGGAACAAAGTAAGTAGATCAAACAACGATCAAGATTGGATCACTCAGCCAACGGAGGAGATTCAACAACAAAGTCTATAAATACAGAAGGAGTGCAGGAAGACCAAGTGTGGCACCAAATGGCAACAAACCCTGGTATATTGGAACCTAGTGGAAAAGAAGGGAATCAAGGTTTACAAGAAAACACCCAGCTAGCTGATTCACCTTCACCACTCTGGCTACCACCCCACTCATCTAATGCTCTTAGAATAGCTTATCATTCATACACATCTATAGAGCTTAGATTAGTTGGTAGATTAGTTTAAACCCATGTAAACTAGTCTAGTGTATTCATTCTGGTATGTGTGTGATCATCCAGAAGGCGAGGCAAGGACATGAGTAGCTTCTGGCTAGGCAAGTCATTAGTGAAAAACCTTGGAGGACATGAGTAGCTTGGAACAGTGTGGTTCCTCGTGAAAAACCTCACAATCTACGCCCGGGCCAGGGGTAGATTGGACACTAAATGTAATGGGATATTCATTTAGTGGAAAATCCATCTGAAATAGGTTGGGACTGGATGTAGGAGGATTACACCACCTCTGAGCCAGGATATATCTTGTGTACCTTTTATATTCAGCACCCAACACATACTTCAGTTCTCACTCACCTTCACACTATCTCAAAGGCTTGCATATTCACTGTCCAGAAAACTCCCTAATGTTTTCTGTGAACCAAAACTCCTTACCTACGCACTACAAAGAGATCTATGACAATAGGTCTAAATCTTTCACACAAAAGTGTTCTGTCCACCCATCTCTGTTACAACTAAAAGGGTCATAATCTTTGTTCCTATAAAGTGTCACACTCTTGAGGTCAAGACTTCCGCTGTATGTTTCAATATCTCCCAAAAGATATTGGAACACATTCTGTTTGAGGAAAAAGGGTTGAAAAGAAAAGATTTTTAGAAGTCTATTCACCCCCCCCCCCCCCGCTCTAAACTTCTACCTCACTTGGGACCATGAGACTTCATGATGCGTTTTAATTTTAGTAAAGTAATTATCCTCATTTTTATTTGTTTGACTAATTTCAAAGGTGGACGGTCCCGCCTTTTAAAATTCTATCAGCGCCATGCCGGTCCCACATTACGGTCATATATGTCATATGATTAGATTTAGAATGTGAATGATATTTAAGATGTTTTTAGTTTAACTGATTTTGATCAAGAAAAATTCAAACAAATCAAATAAGACTAATCTAGATTTACATAAGGCATTTTATTATCAATATTACTATATAGAGGCCTAAAGACCAAAAAGTGACTTTAAAAATGAAATTCCAATAATGTGACTAGTAGCATGTACACGTTAGCTGAATTATGGAAACTACCATTTGGAATTGAAGTCTATCAACCATTTGCATGCTACAAACACTACTAGTATTATCATCATTTGCTGCTACCCATTTGGTGCGGTTGTAATGTAACCGCAACAATTATTTAAAACAATTATTATTTGTTGCGGGCAAGCATTAATCGTAGCAATTGATACTTAAAAAATCAATTATTTGCACCGGTTATCAAACATCCGCAACAACTATTTGGACAAGATACACCATTTACTGCGGGCATCCCCGCAACCGCATCATTTGTTTGCAAAATTAAGGTTATTTGCAACGGCTATGGAATAACCGCAACAAGAAAATTTCCACTAAGGTCTACAGTATACATAATCCCTAACTTGATATCCTACAAAACCCAACTGTAAACCCTTATCCCTCAGCCAATCTGCCGTCTAATGCTAATCTGAGAACTTCGCCGCTCCCCGACCAGAAAGAATCTGCTGTCGTCGTCTCTCCCAACCTAGAAAACAAGCCGCCGCTACACCTTTAGTCGCTTCAGAAAGAATCTGTTGTCGCCGTCTCTCCCAGTCTAGAAAGAAGCCGATGCCGCCCTCCCAGAAACAAGTCGCCAGTGTCGCCTCCTATCCCAGTCCGGAGAACAATCCGCCGCTGCACCTTGAGTCGATTCTTCCGTCTCATGCCCTCTGGCCGCCGCTTCTTCTCTAATTAGAGGTCTATTTCTATATATTTTATCATCTCAATTTCTTTTGTTTTATTATTTTATGAAAGTTTAATATCTTATTAATTTATAAAATTAATATTGATTTTTATGTTTGTATGAAGTTGTAATTATGCAAAATTAGTTCTCCTTCCTCTTATTCATTAATTATTATTTTCTGCACCACTCCACTTCGGTGATTATTCGATCTGGACTACATATAAATCTCTATATATTTCTGCACATCCAATTTGATATTTAAGTTTACTTCCTTTACTTAATTAGCTACCTTTAGTTTACTATAATTCAATTTCTCTTAGGATTTCGGCCCTTAGTTAGTTTTAGATAGACAAAAAATACTGTTAATTAAGCTATTGGTTTATTGGTTTATTGGTTGATTATCAGTTTACCACACATTGAGATGGAAGGATGTTTGTGGAAAGGACGGGGTTCTATGTCAAGCATTAAAGGTAAATACTTTCTTCTACATGTTTGTTTCCTCTTATATCTATGTCTGTCTATGGACTCTTGAAGTTTTGGTATGTAATTTTACATGATATACATTTGGTATTGGTTTATTGGTTGATTATCAATTTATCACACATCGATCATGTACTGGATTTGAGTCTAGCATACATATGTGTGAAGCCTATGTTAGAGTTTAGAATGAGGTAGACCTAATTTAACACGGTACCTGAACTTGGCTTGATTGTCTTGGTGTCCTCACACAATGGTTTGCAGCCCGTTTGGGGTCCTTTGGGTCCATTTGTTCGCCTTTCACTTGTTCATTACTACATAGGTTGATGGGGATCGTGTGAGACATGGTTATCTATAAGTCTAATGCATAAGTGTGTGGTAAACCTCAATCTCTTGAGGTCTTTTGTGTGTGTGTGTGTGTGTTGACAATCCAGTTTAACATTTATGCAATGTCAGAGAAATAGGTGTGATCAAATATAAATGAACAATCCTTTCCATAGGCAATTGTGTACTTAAGTTTTTTCTACAATGTGGGGATGTAATATGCAGAAATGAAGATGGAAAGCAGTTTTGATGCCACATTTAGAAGAGTGGGAATGCAGATGGAACACTGGTTATAGATGCAAGGTCAAAGTCCACATATGGAACACAGAATGACTTGTGGCATGATGGCATCATCGGTTAAGTCGTATCAAATGATCTAAATTCTAAACTTCAAATCAATTTGCCCCTCCATTTGTAGTACTCTAGCATCAAGCCTCTAGCACCGCTCCTCCTAGTCAAATGAGCAAACCACTGTCGTTGCTCCTCCCACCGGAAGCACTAGTGCTGCAAGCCGCAGCTCCACCCACGGAAGGAGTTTCTTAATATTTCAGGTTTACAAGAGCACCTTAAGTGATGAGGCATAGTCAAATGGATGAAATTGTTCAAGTTCAGGATAAAAGGAAAATATGTGTTTGTGATAATTTATTGTACTATATACTATACATAAAAAATTAAAAATTGTATTCCAAGATTTTATAAATACTATATACTATAACTATTTTGTA